GGCTGGTCTCGAACCCTGGGCTCAGGCAAGGCTCTCACCTCGGCCTCCCAAAGTGTTGGGATTACAGGCGTGAGCCTCTGTGCCCAGCCAGAATGGCTGTTTCTATATGGTCCCTTACTAGAGACAGGTATGGGCCCTAGGAACCAATCTGGGTATAGGTGAGCTCACTGTTACTCAAGTGTATCTGCTCCCAGGCCCTCTCAGCAGACAGACAGAATGTCTATGAGTACATATGTGTGTCTATACATACATACACTTGAATTTATTTCTCTTCATACATAGATAATACTCATTGGTCACAGAAGGAAAAATATCATACAATTTACTCATGAGAGGCACAGAGAGCAGTCAAATTGAGAGACAGAACAGAGCATGGTGGTGGAGGGTGGGGAGTTAGCGTCGAATGGCACAGAGATTCAGTTGAGCAAGGTGAAAAAGGTGAAGGAATGGGTAGTGGCGACAGTTGTGCACAAAAGTGGATGTACTTCATCCCAAGAAGCTGTACATTTAAAAATTGCTAAAATAGACCAAGTGCTGTGGCTCACACCTGTAATCCCAGGACTCTGGGAAGCTGAGGTAAGAGGATTGCCTGAGACCAGGAGTTCAAGACCAGCCCAGGCAACTTGGCAAAACCTCATCTCTACAATAAATCCAAAAATTAGCTGGGCGTGGTAGCGTGCACCTGTAGTTCCAGCAACTTGGAAGCCTGAAGTGGAAGGATTGCCTGAGCCCAGGGTTCAAGACCAGCCTGGGCAACTTGGCAAGATCTTGTCTTTACAACAAATCAAAAAATCATCTGGGCATGGTGGCACGCACCTGTAGTTCCAGCTACTTGGAAGGCTGAGGCAGAAGAATTGCCTGAGCCCAGCAGGTCGAGGCTGCAGTGGCTGTGAGCATGCCATTGCACTCCAGCCTGGATGACAGAATGAGACGCCAAATGAAAAAAAAAAAAAAAAAGCCAGGTGCAGTGGCTCAAGCCTGTAATTCCAGCACTTTGGTAGGCAGAGGTGAGAGGATTGCCCGAGCTCAGGACTTTGAGACCCGCCTGAGCAACATGGCAAGACCTCGTCTCTACAGTAAATAAAAAAATTAGCTGGGTGTGATGGCTCATGCCTGTGGTTCCAGCTACTTGGAAGGCTGAGGTGGAAGGATCAACTGAGCTCAGCAGGTTGAGGTTGCGGTGGCCATGAGTGTGCCACTGCACTACAGCCTGGGTAACAGAGCGAGACTCTGAATTAAAAAAAAGAAAAAATTATACCTGCAGCTTAAAATATCAAGAGAGATAAATTAACAAAATTTATACATGGAATAGCATAGGTTCCCATCATGAGTGATTGGACAGTTCAATTTACTATATTTATAAATAGAGCTGTAAGATCACAAATGAACATAAAAGCTTAATAAAAAGTCAGATGTTTAAATATGTCATTTTCACCACTGGAATGTTAATTTATAAAACCAAAGCAGCTCCAAAATAGCCTCACTGTGAACAAAAAATGACCAAAACATCATCAACAAAATGACAGTGTCAGAGGCTGAGATTTAAGATCCCTATAAGCAGGGTGTGTGTAGTTACTTTTCACCTAAATTATTTTTATTTTTTTAAAGTAAATTAGAGAGAGAGAGAGAGAGAGAGAGAGGATATTCACCTCCCCAAGGCAGGGAAGGGGCCAAAGCCAGGAAACACAGCAACAGCCATAGCTCAAAGATCACATGGCCAAACCAGAGTCTAGTAAGGCAATGACCACAATAGCCTGGCAATGGCCTTCACCTAAATTATTTGCTGAAAGGGACCTAAAGTCAGAAGAGTCAGTGTGCCCTACTCTCTTTGTTATTTTCGCAGAAGATGAGACTTGGCAGCTTTTTTTTTTTTTTTTTTTGGTTGTCAAATGACCCTTTTTGTTTTTTGAGTTGGAGTCTTACTCTGTTGCCCAGGCTGGAGTGCAGTGATATGCTCACAGTCACTGCAACCTCGACCTGCTGGACTCAGGTGATCCTTCCACCTCAGCCTTCCAAGTAGCTGGAACTACAGACGCGTGCCACCACGCCTGGCTAATTTTTTGATTTATTGCAGAGACGAGGTCTCGTCAAGTTGCCCAGGCTAGTGTCGAACCCCTGAACTCAGGTAATCCTCTTGCCTCGGCCTCCCAAAGTGTCGGAAATACTGGCTTGAGCCACCGCGGCTAGCATGTCAAATGATCCTTTATTGAAATTTATTTCCTTTGTGCTTCTTAACTAGCTGGGCATTCCACTGCACCACTGTTGATGTCATCTTTGATGTCATGGGGGTGGCAGCCATCAACGCTGCAGCCCACAGACTGGGCAGTCCCCATGGTCTTGTTCATGGTTCCAGAGAGTTCTCTAGCTAAAGATCAGTGTCACATCTGTCAGGCAATGTTGAAAATCTCATCTAAAGTCATATTCCCACTGTGTTTAATGTTCTGTTTCTTTCCGCCTCTCGGTGGTTCCTTGTTCCTTGTTCCTTGAGGGCTTTAATGATCAGGGCAGAGGCAGAAGTTACCACCTCTATCTGGGCCTGTCTGTTCTGATTGGTCAGTTTCGCTGTAATCCTCAGACCCTTCTAGTCACTGGTTGCCTTGGCGATGTCAGCACCAACCTTTTTTGGAGACAGACCCAGGGAGCCGATCTTATGGGTTAGTGCAGATGTGGTATCGGCCGTACCTCCCCATGCACCTCAGGTATATGACTGTGATCTTGCTGTAGTCAAACTTGGGCAGCATAGTGGAGGCGGCTGGAGTTGGATGAACTCAGATTCAGGACGACTGATGCATCTTGGCCTCTGCTGAGCCAAAAACCAAAACCCTTAGTGGCTATTAAATGCTCAGGTGTGAAAGTGGCTTCTGAGGCAGGAGGAGGGAGTGGTGGATTCAGGGGACCCAGACTCAAACGGGGAGACGGTTACACAAGACTCCCCATCTCTCAAAATGCAATAGACGATTCCTTTAAAATCCGCACATTTTATTTCCTGGGAAGCAGATCTCCATATAAAGACTATTGGGAAATAAACATATGAATAATTTAAAGCTGAGTAAAGGCTTGCGGAAACATGACTTCACACCTGATAAGAAAGATGATCCGCCCAGATGAGGGGGAAGTCCATCGAGCATGCAGCGTCACTCAATCTCAGTTATCAGAAAGGACCAGGTCTGCAGGCTGATAACAGATTGAATGCAGACATTGGGCCAATGGCCAAAGGCAGGTTGGAACTTGCAGGCCGGCTGCGTGTGAAGTCATGTCCAGCCACAGTGAGGAAGAAGTGGAGAGATGGGTCTGTGAGAAACAGTAGCCATGTATACAGAATGAAGGTCAAGAAATGTGAGGGGGCCAGGCGCGGTGGCTCACGCCTGTAATCCCAGCATTTTGAGAGACTGAGGTGGGAGGATCACTTGAGCCCAGAAGTTCAAGACTAGCCTGGGCCACATAGCAAGACCTGGTCTCTGAACAAAATAAAAATAAAAAAATTACCCAGTGTGGTGGCACAGACCTATAGTCCCAGCTACTTGGAATGTTGAGGTGAGAGGATCACCTGAGCCCAGGAGGTCAGGCCGCAGTGAGCTGTGATTGTGCTCCAGCCTGGGTAACAGAGTGAGACCCCAATGCCAAACAAAAAATCCCCAGAAAACCAAGGAAATCACAGAAATAATGTTCAAAAATGACTCAACCTTACACAGGAATTACCTGATCCAGGTTGTGGCATCATAGCCTGAAACCCAGCTGTCCCCTATCAGTGCCCATGATGGGTCCTGACACAAAGACACTGGCTGGAGTCCAGGACTCAGCCACTTTCTGGCTATGTGGCCTTGGTTGAGAGGTTGCCCCTGTCTAAGCCTCAGCTTTGTTCTCTGCAAAATGGTGGTGCTTGCCACCGCGCTCTCTAAGCTGTCACCCCAGAATCGAACCCCTAGCTTGGTGCCTTGGGGTGTGTGAAGGGGGTAGAGAGGCCGGGTGCTGGGACTGTGGGGGTTCTGGGACAGGCTCTGAGTTAGTGGCCCCACCCAGACTTTCCAGACTTATCTGCCAGGCCTCTCTGCCACCTGCTGGGTGGGGCAGGATTGGGCAGTAGGGGTGGGGTGGGAAGCATCCAGGAGGGCTGTGGGTGCTGGGCGTGGCTTCTGCTCAGCTTCAACTCCATCCCTGCCTTCCAGAAACATCTTTGGCCCTGCTGCCCCTTACACACTTCCCCAGTAAGATGTAATTTTTTAAATGTCTGAATGCTTCCTAAAACATGCCTATGGAAAATTCATCTATCCATGTCTAACCTGTGCTAGCTACCCTGTCTCACCTCCGGGCAAGCTGCTGCCATGCTCGCCACAGCTGCCCCTGTGTGCAGTGGGGGTGATCAAGTGCTCCTGCAGGGTCTTGTGGGAGCAATCGGTGATTCCTTGCACGATCTCAGTAGCCCAGGGGTCTAGGGAAGGGACAGGGATTGTCAGCACTTCCTTACTGTCTCCTTACTGAGGGCTGATTTGGGCCCCACACTCCGGGCCCCAGGGAGGCTGCGGTGACTGAGCCAGGCCCCAGCCCCTTTCTGTGTTTATATTGTCACTGTGGTTATTTTTCATTCCCGAGGCATCCTCTGGGATTTCTGGGAGACGTCCTCAGCCCCAGGCAGGAGGTTTCAGCTGAGAGGAGGATCTGGGTCTCCAGCCCAGTTTGGCCTCTCAGGATCCCACATGTCTCAGTAGAAAGTGAGCCCGGGAGCCTTTCCTTGGCCACAAGGAGCCCCTTGTGATGAGGATGACCTGTCCCTGGAGTCAGCAGCTGGAGGAGGGGCCGGGCCCTGGGACCCTCAGTAAGTGGAGGGATTCAGGGCCCAGGACAAGAAATCTGCACCAGCCTTGCCAGCCTTGCCCGAGGGCCAGGGTCTGTGCCAGGTGGTGGGTGGGAAAGGGTGAATCATCCGGGCCCGCCCTACCGTCTGCTTTACTTAAGGTCCCCAGCCGTCCTCCCACCACCACTGTTCGTGTCTCTGTTCAGCCATGACTGTGAGTGTTTCAGGGGCCCAAGACCAGGCACGTGGGGAGGGCCTGGGGCCTGCTGAGAAAGTGGGCAGTGGGTTTGCTGTGACTTGTCCTGGCTGTGGCGTGTGGGTGGCCCACCTCATCTCCCTCTTGATGGCTTCCTGGTTTTGTTGCTGTCTCCATCTCTTTCCCTATCTGTCTTTTTCCATGTCGTCTCTCTGTGAAACTTTTCTCTTCCACTGTTTTCTGCTGTTCCAAGCGCTGGTTGGTTCCTCCTTGGGGTTCCCCATGTCTTGCCTCTCCCTCTGTCTCCTTGGTTCACAACACCCCCACCCCCACCCTTTCAGACTGCTCCCAACAAGACTTTGCTGCCTATGGGCATCCACCCTGGTACCGTGCTCAGGATTCGTGGTCATGTCCCTGACAAGGCTGGCAGGTGAGACCCCAAGCCCCAGCGGAAGAGGGGTGGGAGGTATCCATGCTCAGCTCCCCCTAAGTACTGCAATCGAGATTGGGGACCTGGGCCCTCTCTGCCCACCAGTCTTGTAATCCCAGACTATTCTGACCTTTTGAAATTGGATGTATTCACTTCCTTGCCCCAGGCCTGTGTGACTGTGGTCTCCAAGTATCGGTAAGAATTTGGGGTTCAGAGCCATCTCAGTGTTCCTCGATATAGGCCCATGACTTACATGTGTGAGTCCCAGGAACTCTAGACATATGTCTGAGTCCTGGAGACACCCTGACACTGGGGGGGGGGGGGCCTTGCCTATCAGAAATGTGTGAGGGACCCCCAGGCCTCCAGGGATTTTGGGGTACCCTGGAAATATTGGGCTGCTTGGTATAGTTCCTAGTTCACCAAAATCTGGGGATTCTCTGGTCACAGGAACACCCTGGCCATCAGCCCCAGGACTCCTGGCAGCTCCCAGGCTCTTTGGAATTGAGGTCACCCGTGCCCTACCCATGATGACCTTGGTCCTGGTGTGTCTGCTCAGGGCCCAGGAAACTACAGAAGGCTGAAGAACCCGGATATCCAGCCTTAATCTACACCACTCCTTCTGCAGCGTGTGACTGTTAACCCCTGCCAACTGGGGGTGCTCTGGAAATGGGGAGTCTGGCCCTCGTCTGTGGTCTGGGGGCTCCTGAATCCTGACGTTCCCCTCCCCCCACCCTCCCCCCTGCAGGTTCCACGTTAACCTGCTGTGCAGCGAGGAGCAGGGTGCGGACGCCGCGCTGCACTTCAACCCCAGGCTGGGCACCAACGAGGTGGTCTTAAATAGCAGGGAGCAGGGAGCTTGGGGCCAGGAGGAGCGCGGCGCGGGCTGCCCCTTCCAGAGCGGGAAGCCCTTCGAGGTGCTCCTCATCGTCACCGAAGACGGTTACAAGGTGCCTCACTGCCACGGGTGGACGCCGAGCCCCGGGTCCCCCGAGCAGAGGGTTGGGCGTGGCTCGGCGAGGGAAGGGGTGGGGCCGGGAAAGGGAGAGGGGCTGAAGGCGGGGCCGAGCCCTCCGTCCTCCTGCCCGGGCGACGCCCACGCGGCAGCAGGGCCAGGCCGCGTGCTCAGGAGTCCGGGTCCCGGGG